TGAGTAAAGTCATCTTTTTTTAATGCAAAGCCTCTTAGAAGGGTTAACATTTTGTACTGCTGTCACTCTTACCTTTGTCTAGTGGTTTTTCTGTTTCTTGCTCCTTATCCAAGCACAGGAATCATCGGATGGGTGGGGGCAGAAAGGAGCAGAGAGTGCCTCCATGGGGCTGTCGGAGGTGACTGAGTGCCTGTCCCGTTGAAGCACAGATAAGAGCTTTGGAAGGATCGGAAGCCTAATTTAATCTTTTAAAAAATTTGCATCATTTTTATATTAAATAACTATAATTTAAAAAGTACAAACACTGCATTTGAGAAGTTTGGGTTATAATGTATTTTTAAGTGGTTCTGCATTTGTTGATGCCTCGTCCAAAGTACATCCTGCAGACGGCAATTGCCCTGCTAATGACTAACGACAGCCCTTTTGCCCAAGATGACAGCTTGTCCTTACTTCCTTACAAAATGAGCCAGGTCCTCAGAATGAAGCACAAATTACATTTCACAAAAAACAGACAACTTTTACTTACTTCATTTGGGAACATAATTATAGTATTTTGTATCTTTTCAAGTTTCACACAAATGTCCTAAGTAATTAGCCCATGCAGACACTGAGAATTTGAAAGGGTTATTAAATTTTTTCTGTTGCGGTTTTACTTAGAGAAAGCTATTTACAATTTAACAGCATTGAAAACTTTTGCTCAGTAAACTTATTTAACACAGGTCGCCAGTGACTCAAGTGGTACTAGGCGAAGTCTGGAGACTACTCTTGTGGACCTTTTATTTCATAATTTGGTTGTCTTGTTTCCAAGGTCATAATGAATGGCGTGTTTTGGCTTTCTTTGCTGAACTTTAGAAGACTTGTTCTATGAAATCTATTACTTCACTTATTTCTACTTTCACTCCCCCCGCCCTCAATGATTGCTATGGTGGAATAACATTGTAACGGCTTTTACAACTGTAAAGTTTATACCACTCCTGTTTTGTACATCAGGCTGCAAATAAGCTCCACCCAGCAAGAATTTTCTTTAGAACCAGGATGGGGCACTTTACCAGGAGCAGAGCAGGAACTGTGATTAACAGGCAAAAGGTTAAGGATGAAAGTGCCTTGGAGTAAGCAATACAATTTTCACATTGGTGAGAAGGAACTGAAACTCACAGTGGGCAGAGAGATTGTCAGAAAATACCCGTCTGCTCTGAATTAGCTCAGGGTCTTGACCTGGGTGAATTGTGTTTCTGAGGACTGATGGTACCTTTGAGTGGGATTGCACAGCTACCGTTGGTGATCTTTGAGGACACGATGTGCAAATGCCATTCCACGTACAGTGACCAGGGATTGTAGATAGTGAACTTAATGTCAATCCGAGACAAGACTCTAGAATGTAGTATTAAAGGGTGATGTGCAAATGCCATTCCACGTACAGTGACCAGGGATCATGGATAGTGAACTTAATGTCAATCCGAGACAAGATTCTAGAATGTAGTATTAAAGGGTGATGTGCAAATGCCATTCCACGTACAGTGACCAGGGATCATGGATAGTGAACTTAATGTCAATCCGAGACAAGACTCTAGAATGTAGTATTAAAGGGTGATGTGCAAATGCCATTCCACGTACAGTGACCAGGGATCATGGATAGTGAACTTAATGTCAATCCGAGACAAGACTCTAGAATGTAGTATTAAAGGGTGATTTGTGAGAATATATTAGAGAAAACAGTAACCCTTGGGCCAATTTTATGTTCATTGAGAGAACTAGAGGTGGGCTTTGCCATTCCATTCTTGTAGTTACTGGATCCAGGAGCTGCAGTAGGCATAGAATGTATGGACTTTATAAGGGCCTTGGGCAAAATTTCTCATAATATTCCTGAAGATAATAGGAATAAATATAGGCTGGTTATAAAGATAATTGGGTAGGTTAATAAGCCAGTTGAAGGGTTGTACCTGAAATGTACTGAGTAACAGATTGGTATCAACCAAGGAGATAAGACAGGCTATGGCGTTCTATCCTCAACTTTGTCATATTCAACATTTTTAATCAATGAATTAGATGGATAAAACAACTTACAAGGATCAATTTTGAAAAAGACAGAAAGCTTAGAATTTCCTAGATACCAAAGTCAATAACTAAAGGCTGAGTCTAAGACACACATATCTTCATATATATATATATATGAATCTAAGATTTATATATGTGTGTATATTTATAAAAATATATATTAATTTATTTACATTTATAATTCTGCACTTGGATATGAAAAACCAAATGCTCACATAAAAGGATGGGGGTTCTTGGTTTCAAGGAATAGGTAGCTTAAGGAGGAAAAGAGGATAGTGGAGGAAGGTGGGGCATGGATCCTAAAGGGCAAGTAGGGCACCTAGATCTCAAGAGGGACTGAAGTGAGGAGTGGGAAGGTCGTTGGGTATGGCAGTGACTGGTTCCATTTTCTTCTCTCTTACTCTGAATCCACAGTGTCTTTGTCTTATTTTCCCCCTGTGTGTCTGCCCGTTTTTCCCTCTCATTCCAGTAAGGTGGCTGACTGTATACCTTGCACATGACCGTTCTCCATTTTGGCTGCCCTAAAGGTGTCCTAAATGCCCAGGTCTTTAACACTTACAGGCCTAGTTGGCTCATCCCAGTTTAGGGCTTGGTTCTTCTGGGTCTGATGTCTAGTCATCATCAGCCAAGGCTATGGTGGATGGGTGGAGGAGGCATGGTTTAGTTACATTACCAAACAGAGCAGCCAGGACTGTGGAAGGTGGATTCTCTAAAAAAGGGGACATAGGTGAGAAGGAATGGATTGTTATATTCAGTGTAATGACAAATAGTTTTGCACTGTGGCGTTTCTTTAGATAGGGGCTTTATTTAATATAAATGCCAATTAAAGTATATGATAGCAATATATAATTGTTAAAAACACAAAAGACTATTGTGATCTAAGGTTGCATTAGAAGATATTACTAATGATATTTCCAGTGAGATATTAGAATGAGGGGAGTTTGAGTCCTCTCTTACTCTGTTTTGGTGAGAACCAACCAACCACACTGAAGTATTCAGTACTGGCACCATGCTTTGAAACAGATGGAGAACGCTGGAACAAGTCAGAGAAAATGATGTAACATGAGGAAGAAATCTGAAGCTATGTCACGTGGGAAAGAGCTGAAGGCTTTGGAAGTGTTGACCTGGAGAAGAGAAGATATGGAGTTTCCTGAGAGCTGTCTTCAAATATTAGGGGGAGGCTTGGGGTTGTTCCCCATGGTTCTTAGGAGATCTGGGATCAGTGGATGCTCCAGGGAGGCAGATTAGGAGTCAGCATGAGAAACAATTTCTTTCATATTTTTTTTTTTTTTTTGAGGAAGATTATCCCTGAGCTAACATCTGCTGCCAATCTTCCTCTTTTTTTGCTGAGGAAGACTGGCCCTGAGCTAACATCCATGCCCACCTTCCTCTACTTTATATGTGGGACACCTACCATAACGTGGCTTGCCCAGCGGTGCCATGTCCACACCTGGGACCCAAACCGATGAGACCCAGGCCGCCGAAGCGGAATGTGTGAACTTCACTGCTGCGCCACTGGGCTGGCCCTGAAAAACAACTTCTTGATAGACAAAACCATCAGAAGGTAGAACAGGCTGTTTTACAAAGTAGTTTCCCATCATTTGGGATGTTGAAATAGAGTCTGATAGCAATTTATCTAGGACGGAACAGACTCAATGAACCTATCCAGAGCTTGAGCTAGGTATCTTTATGATTTCTTTCAAATCTCTGGTTTTATAAATCTATAAATTTGGTATCAGTGGCATTTAGATGTTTGATGTTGTCATTCATCTGTATCCCATAGTATTTTTATGGTTTTTAATTTGAAATTTTTATTATTGAAGTTTAAATGAGCAAAATCTTACTGTCCAAAAATGTATTATTAGTTTGTTTCAACTGACTCTTGTGTGATGGCATTGGTAGGAGATATGGTGGCATCACTCTTAGTTACGAGAGCAGCTTATAGAGTCTTAAGGGAGGTTGCATTAAGAGTAAGTACTCCGGAATAATCCAAGTGTTGCTTTCATTTTAGCACCCTGGAGCAAGTATGTAATGAAGCTGTCTTTCTTCAAGACAAGTGGAAGCTACTTGAGGAATATTTATATACTTGAGACAGAAAAAAGAATTACCTCTCTCTTGACTTTACTAAAATTCCATTTTTCACTGCCTCTATGCAGGCCAGAGATATATGAATATTTGATCAGAAGGAAGTACGAGGTTTTAGCTGACATACACGTGGTAGATAAATACATGGGTGGTTATAGGCTACAGGCATAGGTACTGGTTTTCTATAGACCTGGGTTTCATGCCAACTTCTCCGTCTATGGGCTGGTTATTTAACTTCAATAGTCTCCATTTCCCTATCAATAAAATGGGTGTAACCATGCCTCCCTGGGGGAAAAGAACCGATTTAGGGAGAAGAGATTAGGTTCAAAGTGTTTTTCCTATTTGTAGTTTTCTGACAGAATGTTAAATTCTGTAAAAATCTTAATATGTTAAAACTGAACAGGAATTTAGAGTTCATTTGGTCCAAAGCTGTAATTTTATAAATGAGGAAAATAAGATCTGAAAAAGCCAAGAGGCATTTCCAGGATCACAGTGCAGTTGGCAGTGAAAGGCCAGCATTTCTTCCCACTTCATGAAGAACTCTAGAATTGTAAAGATGTTTTTGTCATTTTTAGTTTTATTTTATGGAAAATATTTCAAAAGTCAATCTTCCTTAGAGATACTATGGAGAAATAATTACTCTGAAAGACCCTTTTCTAATTCTAAAATTTTGTGTCATTGTCAATATTGTGCCAGTTTTAAAAATTTTATTCAGATGTAGGTAATGTCATGACTGTTACTCCATAGCATTGTACAATATACATTTACTTCATTTGACAGTATGGTTGCATCTTCAGTTGAACTCTGTTTTTTAGAACTTAAAAAATATCATTTCAGTAAATGTATGTTCTATCTTCTAGATGTCCCCTGAAGAAAAAGTTTGTAAGTTCTGTGGAGTCAGCTATCTAATTCTCCATGAGTTTAAGGCTATGGAAGAAAAAGTGAAAGCGATGGAAAAAGAGATGAAATTTTATCAAGGAAGTGTGGAACGTGAAAAGAAACTTCAGGAAAAGCTACAGTTTCTTAGCCAAGATTTTGAACAGTACAAAATTGACAATGAATCCAAAACAGAAAGGTTGGGGTATGTTATTCTTTTCTGTCATTTATTTAATTTGGAAGAAAAGTACAGAAAATAAATAGACTTTGAATGTTTTTCGAGAATTTCTCTATATTAGAGGTAATTTACACTTTTATACATTGAGTTTGTTCATTAACTATTGATAATTACTAAATATAATTATTAATTTTAGTTTGACCATTCCTTTGAGACATATATTTACTTTCTGAATAATTAGACACCAATTAATTTCATAATTATAAGTTGAGATGGGTTAAGTTTTATTTTTCCCCAGATATGTATCTTTATTTTATCATTAGGAAGACTTGTCTATAAAAATCAGGTGAATTTTGGCAGTTTTTAATCGTAACATTTGTGGTTTTTTTTTTTAAAAGATTTTCTTGTTTTCCTTTTTCTCCCCAAAGCCCCCCAGTACATAGTTGTATATTCTTCGTTGTGGGTCCTTCTAGATGTGGCATGTGGGACGCTGCCTCAGCGTGATTTGATGAGCAGTGCCATGTCCGTGCCCAGGATTCAAACCAACGAAACACTGGGCCACCTGCAGCGGAGCGCGCGAACTAAACCACTCGGCCACGGGGCCAGCCCCCTAACATTTGTTTTTAAGTGGCCTTGAATATTTAGATTTTTAGAATGAGGTTTTCATGTTTTGAAAAGGATCCCAAAACATTTAAATTGATACATGATTCTAAATCACTGAAATTGGAGTAAAATTATGGAATAGGTTTCTAATACTGTCAAATCTAATTAGCAATTTAGTCTGCCTAAAGACATTTCAGTTATAGACACTTCTACAGAAGGGGTTCTGCTGGTATTTTATGGCTTTTCCTCTTTCCTGTGAATGAATATTTATTTCTTCATTTAAAATATCAACAGCTGATGTTAATAAACTTTGAATTAAAGCGTTTAATGAATATCATGTCTTTGTAAACAGAGAAACTTTCTTAAATCTCTTAGGGTTAAGTACTTGTATCAAATTTTATTACAAATTTTTATAATTACATTAAATGCCACTTGGGCCCGATACTTTTTAGTCTTTTACCAAAAAAACTTTGTTATAGTTTCTTGAATTTCAAATCTGAATAATAAAGTATCTCATAATATTTGAGTGGAAAAATAAAAAATTTGAAGTATTCAGTTTAAAATTTTAAATTTGGAGGGTTTTTGCCTGTCAGAGATTCTTTTGCTTGGTATTATTCACACTTTACTTTCTTTAATAAAATATTGTATTATATAAGTAATACATAAACACATGAAATAAAAGAAGTATATAGAAGAAAAGGCAGTGGGTCTCTTTTCATCCTGCTGATTGCTTTCTTCTTACTGAAGATAAAACCACTTTTAATGGTTTGGTGTATATCTTTCTAGATCCTTCATTGTGCCTTTACCTTTACTGAAGATTTTTTTTTTAATGTATGTAATGTATTATATATAAGTTATATAATTTTTAAAAATCTTTATCTTTTCATAGACTAGGTTTTTTTTTTTCTTTTTTTGAGGCAGATTAGCCCTGAGCTAACATCTGTGCCCATCTTCCTCCATTTTATGTGGGACGCCTGCCACAGCATGGCTTGACAAGCCGTGCATAGGTCCACACCCGGGATCCGAACAGGCAAACCCTGGGCTCCCGAAGTGGAACGTGCAAACTTAACTGCTGCACCACCAGGCCAGCCCCAATAGACTAGTTTTTAACATAAGCAATATATTAAACACATCATTCTGTGACTTTTGCCACTTAACTATATATATGTTGGAAATTGTTCCTCGTTAATATGTATAGATCTACCCTGTTCTTAACTGCTGCAACATTTTCCTTACTAAGAATATGCCATAATTTACTTAAGCATTTCTTTTTTCAACATTTAGATTATTTCCAATGTTTATTATTACATATAGTATTTATATTTATGTTCTTGTGTACATATATTTTCCATAGGATGAATACCTAGAAGTGAAATTGCTAGAAGAAAGGAAATGCCAATTTAAAATTTTGATGGGTATTATACCAAATTGTCCTTGAGAAGATAGCATTAATTTGTATTTGGCAAATAGTTTATAAAGTGGCCATCTTCCTACAAATTGTTAATATTGGAGTCTTCTTAATTTTTCTCAAATTTTCACTTTTTTCTTGAGTAAAAAAGATTATTTCATTGTTATTTAAATTTTTTCTTTATTGCTAATGAGGTTGAACATTTTTTCATATGTTTATTAGACATTTTTATTTCTTCCTCTATTAATTACCTGTTCATATATGTTGTACAAATTTTTACTGGGTTGTTTATTTATAGAAGTTTTTAATATAATATGGACATTATACTTTGTATATAGTGCTAATATTTTCTCATGGTTATCTTTTTATTTATGGTATTTTTTCTGTATCAATTTTTTTTAATATCCTGTGCCAAATTCTGGTCAGGGTTTTGTGTCAAGTTCTTTTAGCTGCAAACGATAGAAATTTACTCTGGTTAACACTAGTGTCATTTCAGAGAAGTTGAAGAAACATCGTATGTTTAAAACTTTTATAGTATTGTTGTTTTAGTTAGCTTTTTAATCTATTTATAATTAATTTTTGTGAGATAGATTTATAATTTCATGTTTTTTGTTGTTGTTTTCTGAATGTATGGCTTATTGTCCCAATATCATTCATTAAACCCCTTCATCCTTTCTCCCTTGATTTGAAATACAACCTATTAATTTCTGTTCTAGTCTATTTCTGGACTCTTGTTGTATGCTATTGATCTATTGTCTATCAATGGGTGTCTTAGTCCCTTTGAGCAGTTATAACAAAGTACCATAGACAGGGTATCTCATAAGCAACATGGAGTATTTATTTCTCACGGTTCTGGAGGCTGGGAAGTCCAAGATGAGTGTGCTGTAACGTTTGGTGTCTAGTGAGAGCCCCTTTCCTGCACAGGCGGCCGTCTTCTTGCTGTGTCCTCGTAGGGTGGGAGAGACAAGGGAGCTGTCTTGGGTTTCTTTTGTAAGGACACCAATGCCATTCACAAGAGCTCCATCCCTATGACTTAGTCCCCCCAAAACCCTGCCTCCAAACACCATCACACTGAGGAATAGGTTTCAATTGAGGAGTTTGGGGGGATACGGATATTGTACGTACAGGAATGGGTCAGCACCACACTTTGACTACTGTAGCTGTATATGTTTTCATAGTTTGTAGGGCAAGCATTTGTTTTGCTCTATAGGTTCTCCTGGCTTTTCTATCATATTTCCTCTTCTGGATGAACTTTAGAATCAGTTTATCAGATTTCATAAAACATTTTATCTTATGATTTAGATTGGAGCAGCATTTACTTTCTAGAGCAATTTGACATCTTTATAATTTTGAATCTTCTTATCATGGAACATGCTATTTCCCCCCAATTTGTATAGGTCTTCTTTAAATCCCTCAATGAAGTTTTATACTTTTCTCACCTTTTCATGTTAGTTTAATTCCTAGACATATAATTTTGGTTGCTGCTGGGAATGGGATCTTTTTCTTCATTACGTTTTTAAATTTTCCTGAATGGTATTGATTTTTGTATATTGATTTTATCTCCAGCTCCTTTACTGAATTCTTTTGTTACTTGTATTTGTTTTCTGGTTGATTTTCTTGAATATATTATATATTCATTATATGTATACACACACCCACACATATAAAACAGTCACATTATATGCAAACAGTAACTCTTCCTGTTTTGTTTCTAATAGTTATCCTTCCCCCCTTTTTATCTCATCAACATGGGTTGGACCTTAGAACAGTATTGAATTGCAAAACTTGTAGAGGGCATCTTTGTCTTATTTCTGATCTAATCTGAACCCATCTGGTGTGTTTCTGTATTACATAGGATGTTTGCTATAAGTTACTTAAAGATGCCTTTTGTCAGTTAAAGGAATTCCCCTTTTTATTTCTAGACCTTTAAGGTTTATTTTTTAACCAGGAATGGTTATTGAATTTTAATACATAAATGCTTTTCCATCTTCTATTGGAATGATCATATGATTTTTTTCCTTTAATCTGTTAATGTAGTAAATAATACTAAAAGATTTTCTAATATGAAGCTATACTTGCATTTTTGGTATAAAGCCATTTTGATTGTGGTATGTATTTCAGGCTCCCCTAAATTTTATGTATTTGCTTTCTTTCTTCTTCTCCACGACTATGAGCACTGTGTACCAGTTTTCCATAAATACCCTTAAATATATATATATTTAAAGGAAATTTTCTATGAGAATAGTAAGTGGGAAAACCATATCACTTACCATAAATAGAAGATAAAAATAAATATGTAATTATTAAAATAAAATGTTTTTTCTTGTACCCTTGAAGTAATTGCTCATATTACTAGTTATGTGTGAAATAATTTATGAAGAATATTGTTCTTTTAATAGTTTTCTGGATTAATTGTTAATGTTTTGCATAGATTTTTGCATCTATGTTCACCAGTGAGGTTGGCCTGTGGTTTTCTCCTTTTATAGCGTAGAGACTGGCTCACACCAGCATCTGAAAAATAGCGCAGTCCTCCATATTCGGTGCGCACCAGGTGCTGTGAATAACACACGAGTTGCCTGTTCCTCGCAGCTTTGGAAGATCTCCTTCATGAAAAGCGTGTCTTGTAGTTTTCTTGAGTAACAGAATTTTGAAGTCCCTTATGCTTCCTCTATAATTATTGGCTTGTTTATGGATTTTACCTCTTCTTGAGTCAATTTTGGAAATTGATATTTTCCTAGAAGATCAAGCATTTTACTAGCATTTCAAATTTCTTGTTACTTAGTAATATGTAGGATCCTCTTATTTAAAAGTTTTCCTCTGTATCTGTTATGACCACCTTTCTCTTTTTTTGGGTTAAGTATTTGTGTTTGATTGAGAGAGAGAGACAAGATAAAGAGAGGAGAGAGAAAACTTTTTTTTGAAGGAAAGTAAACAGATTTGTCTATTTTATTGACCTTTTCAAAGAACCAGATTTTAGCTTAATTGATCAAATCTGTTTCTTTTCTATTTTATTAAT